CCCTGCAGCCCATGGTGAAGACCAGGGTGGAGCAGGCCGTCCCCCTGCAGCCCATGGAGGACTGTTGGGATGCAGAGGCCCACCTGCAGCCCATGGAGGAGCCCATGCTGGAGCAGGTGGATGCATGAAGGAGGCTGTGACCCCATGGGAGGCCCAGGATGGAGCAGGGTCCTGCCAGAGACCTGCAGCCCATGGAGAGAGAAGCCCACGCTGGAGCAGGTTTTTCTCGGGTAGGACTTGTGGCCTCTGTGGGGGACCCATGCCGGTACAGCTCATTCATGAAGGACTGCACCCCATGGAGGAGTGACCCACGTTACAGCAGTTTGGGAAGAACTGATGCCCGAGGGATGGATTCATGCCAGAGAAGTCCATCAAGGACTGTCTCCTGTGGGAGGGACCCCATGGGAGCAGGGAAAGGACTCCTCTGTCTGAGCAGAGGCAGAAACAACAACTGACCATAACCCCCATTCCCTGTCTCCCTGCACCGCTGAGGGGAAGGAGGTAGAGTTTTGGAAGGAAGGAGGGGGGGGGGGGGGAAGGTGTTTGTAAGATTATTTTATTTCTCACTCTTGCTCTGATCCTGTTTGTAATAATTAATATCCCCACTTTGATTGCCTGTGATGGTGATCAGTGAGTGACCTCTCCCAGGTGTTAACTCATGAATCCTTAGCTGTTTTTTTTTTCCTCTCTCCTCTGTCCAGTTGCAGAGGAAGAGTGAGTGGCTTTAAGTGGGTACCTGGCATCTCACCAGGGTCAACCCACTACACCTTGAGCAACCTAGTCTAGTGGAAGGTGTCCCTGCCCATGTCAGGAGGGTCAGAACTAGATGATCTTTAAGGTCCCTTCCAACCCAAGCTATTCTATAAGTGTATAAAGGGTATTGTGGAACAAGTCTAAAGTAAAGACCTAGAAAACTGTGCAAAAAATACATAAGTCTATTAAAGAGTGTTTAAAACTTGGTAAAGCTGTTTTATCTTTACATGAACAGATGCCTACTACACATACTTTATATACATATTGTATAACACTTAATTTTTCTGAATGTTCCTCATTCAAACCTAGCCAAGTATAATCCAGTAACAGATTAAAATGGCCAAATACTTTCTTTTAAAGTTTTTTAATGAAATTTTATTCCCATCTTCTTCGCATTAAAGTTGAAGTCTGAATATGAATGACTTCCCCTGCCCCTTTCTGTCATTCCTGCTATTCCTATTTAATTTTCATTAAAGAAAAACCAACCAAAACAGTTTGAAAGGGCACATCTGTCATTCACTTCCGAATACAACAGATGTGGTAAGAAAAAAAATATTATTTTCCCTCCCCTGTTCCATCTGCTTGGAAGAAACATTGAGGTTTGCAAAATAACAACATTATCTCCCATTTGAGCGGATCCCTCTCGCGCAGCTGACATAATGAGGACAGCTACAATTTAGAGAAACGTGTAATGTTCGTTAATAACTTTGATTTACTGCAAATGTCCTATCGGAGGCATTTCTAAGCACAGGGCTGGTACCGTTCCTCTGTTAACAGCTGTGCTGACTTCTGTTCGAGTGGCCCCTTCTCACAGGAGAAAAGAGCCGTTCGAACTAAAAGAGCTAGTCTCGCCAGCACGCATCGCCCAAGTGGCGCGGGCTGCCAGACAGCTAGGCGAGCGGGCAGGGGTCAGGCCTGGGGCGCTCCCGCCCGTCCCCCCTCCACTTGGGATGAGTCCGAGCGAATAAAATGGTACGGCACAGAAAACAGGCTTTCAGGGAAACAGGGGAAACGAGTCCTACACCTGGGAAGCGCTTCGGGGCAGCCTGCGAACACGCTTCTCGTCAGGCTGTGACTCAGTGCCGACAGCCCCCACTGGGTAACCGCTGCTCTGACTGCCACCACGAGAACACAAAATTCGCCATGTTTCTACGGGCCACTCCAGAGATACCGCAACTGCTCCCCTCCACCCGACCGGAGCCGCCATCTTAGGTCCGGGCGGAGCCCCTTCCCCCTACACTCCTGCCCCATACAAAGGGGTGGGACCACGTGACAAACACATACCCCCACCCTCTTGCGGGACACTGGTGTCCACACTCAAAATGTTACATAGGACCTTCTGCCTCTTCCCTTCCCTCCATCCTCTCGACCCCTCCAAGCCTCTTCCTCATCCCAAGATGAGGAAGGCCGACGCAGACCCTGCTTACTCCGGGGGATAGAGGCGCAGCTCCTCGATATCTCCCAGGAAGCCGAAGAGAGTCCGCAGCTGCTCACTGGTCACTGTCGAGGAGACGTTCGTGACCTGGATGACAGACGTGGGGCCCAAGGGGAAGCCTAGCGGCACCCCGATCCCTCCGCTGCTCATCATGGTGGAGCCTGCACGACTGCTCCGTTCACGACAGTGCCAGACACAGTTTGAGAGGCGGGTCTGACCACAGAGGCAAGCGCGCGGCGCCTGCCAGAGCGTCCTAGCATGCGGGCGCTCTAGCGGCGGACTCGACTGCTCCTTGGAGGTGTTTTTATGCGGGCAGCCGTTCTTCCCATGCCGACTGGGGCTCACGGAGGAGCGGGCGCTCTCGCTCCGTGCCGACGGGACTCCGAACTCTGCAGATCCCCCTGCAAGAGGGGAGGGGAAAAGAAACCCAACCTTCTCTTCCCTCCGCTTTCCCAAGGAGCCTGCCAGGCCGTCGTTACCAGGGCGGGGCCGCGCCCCTACCTCCCCCGGCCTCCCTTCACACACGCGTTACCCGCCCCAGGCTATCAGGGGACTGGATCACAGATCTTGCGAGAGTGAGGCTGCACAACGGAGGAAGCGAGCACGACGGCTCGGATGCCACGCGCAGGGGGGTTAGATAGTTCCATCACTCGTGGGGAAAGCACAGCTGAGAGCACCTGACTAATTCTTGCACGAACAGGGTCTGGAGTACCTTGTTACCTGGTTTCATAGAATCATAGAATCATCTGGGTTGGAAAGGACCTCTGAGATCATCAAGTCCAACCCTTGATCCACTACCACCACAGTTACTAGACTATGGCACTAAGTTCCACCTCCAGTCTCATCTTAAAAACTTCCAGGGATGGAGAATCCACCACTTCCCTGGGCAGCCCATTCCAATGCCTGATTACCCTCTCCATAAAGAATTTCTTCCTAACATCTAATCTAAACCTCCCCTGGCAGAGCTTAAGACCATGCCCTCTTGTCTTACTGATAGCTGCCTGGGAAAAGAGACTAACCCCCACTTGGCTACAACCTTCCCTGCTCCTGCTGACCACGCTGTTCTTGATGCAGGCCAGGATGCCATTGGCCTTCTTGGCCACCTGGGCACACTGCTGGCTCATGTTCAACCTCCTGTCGATCAGCACCCCCAGGTCCCTTTCTGCCTGGCTGCTCTCCAGCCACTCTGTGCCCAGCCTGTAGCGCTGCAGGGGGTTGTTGTGGCCAAAGTGCAGGACCCGGCACTTGGCCTTGTTGAACTTCATCCCATTGGAGTCAGCCCATCTCTCCAGTCTATCCAAGTCCCTCTGCAGAGCTCTCCTGCCTTCCAGCAGATCAACACCGCCCCCCAGCTTGGTGTCATCTGCAAATTTGCTAATGCTACACTCGATCCCCTCATCCAGATCATCAATAAAGATACTGAACAGAACTGGGCCCAGCACTGATCCCTGGGGGACACCACTATTGACCGGCCGCCAGCTGGATGCAGCCCCGTTCACCAGCACTCTCTGGGCCCGGCCCTCCAGCCAGTTCCTGACCCAGCACAGAGTGCCCCTGTCCAAGCCATGGGCTGCAGCTTTTCCAGGAGTATATTATGGGAGACAGTGTCAAAGGCTTTGCTGAAGTCCAGATAGACCACATCCACAGCCTTTCCCTCATCCACCAATGTATAAATCTGTTTCTTCGGTCTAAAGATGGTTTAAGAATGTAGTTTAAGTTGTATGCATTTGTAAGAACGGATTTCAGTAATGAGAAATAAATACAATGGAATAGTCAGAAGATATATAAATTATGTGGGATCTGAGTATGACGCAAATGGTATGGAAGAATGGGTGGAGATCATATCGGGTCTGGTTGAGATAGAGTTCATTTTCCCATATCAGCCCTCACAGCACTGTGCTTTGCATTGGTAGCTATAAAGGTGTTGATAACACAACAGTCTTTTGGCTACTGCTGAGCAGGGCTGCCACAGCATCAGCACTGTTTCTCAACATTCCTCCCCCATTAAGGGGTGGGGGTGGGCAAAATCCTGGGAGGAGACTCAACTTGGCCAGCTGACCAAAGGGATATCAACTGCTACACATGCTTAAGCCCTGCTTCCCAAGAAGTGGCTGAACATTGCTTGCTGATGGGAAGTGGAGAATAAACCTTTTTTTTTCCTCTTTGCTTGTGTGCACGCAAACTTTCGCTTTTTTTTAGTAAACTGCATTATCTCAACCTATGAGTTGTTTTCCATCTTATTTTCTCTCCCCTGTCCAGATGGGGAGTGGTAGAGCAGGCTGGTGGACATCTGGCATCCAGCCAAGGTCAACCCACCACACACATGAAAAAAGTTAGGATTGTTGTATTTAACATAGTAGTATCCTTTATAAGAATCACATTAAAATTGTTTACATCAAAGATGGAGTAGTATTTCTCAGCTCTCAGTTCTTTTTGAACTTACTCCAAAATAGGATGAGGGACTGTAGGAATAGAAAAGTTAAACACGGAAGATTTATTCATGGAGGATAAAGAGTTTTTGCTCAAGGAAGTTTTTGCTGCTAGGAAAACTAGTCCTGAAAAAGATCAGTGTGGGAAAATTCCATTTATTAAACCTACAGATATTTATCCTCTGCCTGTTTTGAGAAGTAGGATTCCTGTGTAGAGATAACACTTTTTCACAGACATGCCCCTGCTGGGAGAGCACAGGCTTGAAGTTATGTGCATGCAAAAGGTGTTATAAAAGCACCAGAAAACAGGCCTTGAGGCTCTCTCTAGGTGCTGCATAATTTCATTCAGTGCTACTTTGTAATGTATTCAGGGTATCTGACTTTGGAATAAACTTTTCCTTGATACCTTAGTAGTGGTTTAGTCCTCTGGGTTACCTGCATGATTATCAGTTCTTATAGGGACTTAGTTGATAAACAATAGCATTTAGATAGTACTTTGATCTCTGGATCTCCAAGTGCATATTAAGAAAGGAGTTGGATAGAAAGTTCTGGAATTCAATGAGAAGAACTTCCTCTGCCTTCCAGCCAGAGTTTCTAGGATCAGGGCAAGAAGTTTAAAAACATTTCACATATTGACACCATAGTCAAATAATTTCACATATTGTGGAGAAACTGAGGAAATGGGCCCTTCCATTTTAGTGCTTGACTCTGGCACACAAGCACAGTTTTTTGTGCAATATTAGAATTACTGTCATCATACATATTGGTTTGGTAAACGAGAGTTCACAGAGTATCATCTTCAGCTGGATAATATCACCTGGAACTAGAAAATCACAATAGTTATGAGTTTTTGGTTTGGGGATATTATTTCGAAGGAAGATAATCCAGGTATTGTTGCAGCTAAAGTGACTGCTTTACTTTGCTCTCACATGCTGAATTTAAAAGAATATTTCTTTTGCCTTAAATTGGAAAAATACTATCAGTATTGTTCATAACAATAAACCAAATTATTTTAATCTGAGACATAGAAAAATATAAAGAAGGGTAGATTGTACACTTTAAAAAGTCTAATCATGCATGTCCTGCTGCATTTCAAGATGAGGAGGCCTGGGCACAATCATGCTTTTCCAGTAGTACTAGTTCTCTGCCTCCTTCATGGCATCAGAATATAGGCTTTCACTGACAATAAAAGGATTTGAACCTTTAAAATTGTGAAGTTAGAAAATATACCAGAATATAACTCAGTGCAAACAAAATTGTTTGGAGGTTTTACAGCATGATTTTTAATCCTTTCATGCATCAACTCCAACCTCATCATTTCACACTACAGTTAACAAATGAGAAAATTTTACATTATTATTTCCCTTTTTCCAGGACTTATTATTATGTCAGCTAACCAACTGTTAAAATCTATTTCAATATTTATTTAAAAACTCTCACTTTTTCGGTAGAGGAGCCATGGCTTTCAACTGAAGGATGGCAGAAACATTATCAGAAAAAAACCCTTCTCCATATTCAAAACAAGTTGTTGATTATTCTATTGTGAGTGGAAGTTGTTACAGACAAAAAATCAGTCAAATATGCCAAAATTTTATGACATTAGGAGCCTTGGCACAATACTTTTTAATTATATATTTTGCCAGTGCATATTTATAATTCAGTAGAAAGCTTTTTCACCCTTATTGTTGGTTAGTTGTTTTTTTCCTACAGTCTCTTTCACAAATCATCAACATCAGCAATTGAATGAAAATTTCTCTGTAGAGCATCTTGTTCAACTTCTACTGGTTTCTCTATTAAGAGACAGACCTTAAGAAGTTAATCCAAATCAATATTTTCACACATCTGACAAACAAGAGCAAATATTCCATTAAGGTTTTTTTCATTTATTTGGATAATACCAAAACATAAATAGGTCAGCAATTTGCAATGTCCAACCCATGCCTCATGAAATGCATGCAGTGCAGAGCCATACTCCCCTTTGTGTTATGAAGCTGCAAAAATAGATGTTTCAGAGTACTGTAATTGGAAATGTAATTCCTGATGCTCAAAAGTCTGGGCCATGCAGAAAAGCTACATAATTTCAGTAATGTGACCTTTAATGTGGAACTGTTCTTGGCCATTTCAGAACCCTTGCCAGATGAATCACATTATACTTCTTCTCTTCCATCTTCTTACATTTCTAAAACTTTTAATCAGGTATTCATACAAATGTGAATGACTGAAAGAGTCCTCGCTTAGCCATTAAGATACACAAACTACATGTTAAGTGAATTTTTCACAGCTCAGTAGTATTTATCCATAGCTACCTAATCAATTTTCCCCTTAAATGGAATAATTGAAACCTACTTTTGAAATGCACAAAATCTTGTGCAGAGTATTTCCAATTTAGTATAAAATATGTAGGTTGTAATGCTTATTTAATGTTTTTTCCTCTTTTAGGCCAAATGGCTACTTCTTTTTCTATACTTTCTATACTTAATTCTTGTCCTTAATGCAATGCAATATTTCAAATTGCAATATGGAAATACAAGTCATGTTCTTGTAGACAATATTGGGAAAAGCAAACACAAAAAGGAAGACAGCCAGAAATCAGAGAGTGTGACAGAAGAGAGGGGCTAGACTGCGAGGAGTGGTGATGCAACACTTGAAACAAGGCTCTTAGAAAGTGGAAGAAAAGAGGGAACTCCTGGTGACCCTTTGAGAAAACTAAGGGTACTTGCTGCT